AGAATCAAAAATCCCAAGAGATTTTTTTTCACTTCATATTTAACATTTCTGCATGTTTTTATTTATTTAAACATTTTTCCTATATATAGTCATCAATTTGCATTTTTTGCTGTGATACATCTTGTATAAAAATTGTTCTAAATTTTACCCCTGAACTTGTACTGAATACTTTTCTGACCTTTAATAATCATGATTAAGAAGTCTACTAATGACAGCTTCCTGAGAATAATAGCCCATCTTTATAGTGAGCTATAAATATAGCCTGCTAGCTGTGTTAGTGTCATAAAACCTCACAATCAGTGAAAACTTGTTGCTTGCTCAGTAATGATACTTGGAGCAGGTTGCGATGTGCCGATTGGAGATTATAGGAGTGTAAATTACACTCACGCGCACCCAGTTCCTCAGTCAGTGTACTTTATGAAGCAAAACAGTACATTGGTATAACTTTACCTCTAAAAATGAATCCAAATGCCTTTATAAGCAGTCAGAATTGTAGACAGGAGTCTACATGAGTTACAACAGATCTTTAGAGGCCCACACTCCTTCAGTCCCCTCACATTTTCTTCTGTTTTTAAATAATATCCTTCACTGATTTCACCTGCCCATTTGTGCCCCCTACAGGTCATCTCCTGGATTGTTTTCACTGGTGCCTTTTCCTATCTGAAGGTGGTGATCGGTACGTTGCTTCACGAGGCGGGTCACGCCGCCCTGCTGTGGTGCGGCATCTCCATCCAGGCCGGCTCTCTTATCGGAGCTCTCGTCATGTTTCCTCTGGTGAACGTCTACAACGTGTTCACCAGAGGCCAAGAATGTGTCCAAGAATGCAGTTAGCAGGAGTGAAATGAGTGCAGTTTTTCTGTAAGCACACACGCCTCTCGTTCCTGCCCCATGGGAAATGGCCAAATGAATTCTGTTTTTCTGGTTCCTGAAAGATGTAATGTGTATTTCTTGCAGCTACTTCTTCTTAAGGATCATGCCTCACATGAGGCAGCCTCTCCTGATTCAGAGGTCTCAAGTCTGTGGAAGTAAAAACATTCCCAAATAATGGGAGCATTGTGTTGCAGGATTGGCCATGGGGGATGTAAAATGCATATGATGCTGTAAAACCTTTAAAGTGCTTTGTGCTTTTTATAATGAACCTTTGTAGTTCAGGTTGTTTATCGCAGCAGAGGAGCTGCTGATGGACTTTTCCCATCACAACTATCACGTGAAAGGTTATTTGCACTCAGACACAACGGCTAACTTGTTCGTCCTCATGTACTGATGCTGAACCGAATGATTCACTAACTACATTCTTTCAATGTAGAAAGGCAGCATTAATGTTTTCTTTTATATTCAGATGTGTTGCTACCTCCTTTTTATGCCATGAATTGATTTTTTTTAAAACAGATTCTGATTTTCTGTTAAGCTCCTCATGAAAATGGTAGAATTTATATTGAAGTAACTTTTTACAGTCAGATCCATTCACAGTTCTTGATCTCTCGGCTGAACTGGGAACACCTTGGTGTTCTCCTGGGCAAGCTGGAGGCGGCGGCTGGGGAGAGGGAGGTCTGGGCTTCTCTGCTTAGGCTGCTGCCTCTGCAACCTGGCCCTGGATAAGCGGAAGAAATGGATGGATGGAAAGTTTTCTTTAGATTTAAGTTTACTTGACATTTGGGATAATGTTATCTTAAGGGAACGATACATGCCTGACAGTCACTAATCAGTGAACAAGGAATTTCTTTCTTAAAGTCCTTAAAGTAATGATTTTGCATCGTTGATATGCAGTTAATGTAATTTTACTAACCATGCTGCTACACTGTATCAGCTTTATTAAACTCTTCTGTTTACACAGGAAGAACATCTGTTAAGCTGCTTTGAGGATTTCAATATAATACTGGGCTTTTTGTTTTAATACCAATGAAATGTTATTTGGTAATTTCAAATGGGTTGAATTTTGCAGTTATGTAATTCATGGATTTTGTTTTATTTTGTTTTTTTCTTCTTTTTACGTTGTCTTGTATAACAATGTTATGAATAAAACTATTCATGGGTAAAACTGCTCTTTGTTGTTTTAAAATATCAGTATTGAGGATAGTTTGCTTTTTGTGTTTTGTATTTTTGAGCTTGCAGTTAATTCTGGAAAGTTTTTTTTTTTTTTTAAACACAAGTCATCTACACTCATATGTTGTGTGACTATGAAGCAATCAACTTTTAAAATGTTAAAAGTCTTTGTGCCATATATAAACATCATTTCCAAAATAATTTGCACATCTGACATAGTTGTAGAGACAGTAGTTAACATTAGGCTTCAGTCACACAGGGTTTGAGACAATCACCAGTTGCCAAGGGAAAAATGTGTGTGGAAAAAGGTGTGTAACCTCTTTGGCTGCTACAGATTTGCAGCGCTCGCCTGTGGAAGCCGCCATCCTGTCCGCAGATACTTGCAGAGAAGTAGTGAAAACAAAAATACAAGACAGACTGTAAAGTAGAACACAGGAAAACTGCAATGAAACATTTATTTTAACAATGTAAGAATACTAAAGTGACTTGACATTTATTTCCATATTTTATAGGCACACAGCTGATGGCTTTGAGCTTTTATCCACATTCACTTTGCCAAATAAAGAAAGTACGTTGGTCAAACTCAGTAAATCAGGCGTCCAGTTATCAGTGTTGGGAAGGTTACTTTTAAAATGTATTCCATTACAGATTACAGAATACATGCCCCAAAATGTATTCTGTAACGTA